TATATATACACAGTATATTGTATTTTCCATTTTCATTTTTGTTAACATTTTTGTTGTATTTTTTGTCATTTTTTAATAGTTATTAGTTTTATTAGTTGTTTTTTATTAATTTATTTTGTCCATATAGTTTTTATTATTTTTTATTTCAGTTTTAGTTTGACTTATTTTAGTACATCAAGTTAAACTAAATGAAAAGGAGAAATGCTGCTTTGGCAACTAGCTGAAAACAAAGTTTCAGTTTCTTCTATTTTATTTTATTGCAGTTAATATTTATTAAGTAACAAAAATTATTATTATTTTTTTTTAATGTTTTTAGGTTTAGTTAACTATAATAATCCTGATGCTCACCAAGGTTGCCTTTAGTTGACGTAAAATGCAGTAAAAGTAGGAATACTGTGAAATATTATTATGATTTAAAATAACAGTTTTATATTTGAATCTATTTTAAAATGTAAATCATTCCTGTGATGGTAAAGCTGAATTTTCAGCATCATTACTCCAGTCTTCAGTGTCACATGATCATTTTAATATGCTCATTTGATATTTTTGAGAAAACCATGATCATTTTCTTCAGGATTCTTTAAAGAAAAGAAAGTTCAAACGAACAGCATTTATTTAGAAATAGAAATATTTTGTATCATTATAAATGTCTTTACTGTCACTTTTGATCAATTTAATGCATCATTGCTCAATAAAAGTATGAATTTCTAAAAAAAAAAAAAAAAAAGCTCCACTGGCAACATTTGTGATATAATGTTGATTACCACAAAAATTATTTTGTTGACATGCATATTGTTTACATCTTGTGGCTATACACATTTTCAACATTTACAAACTAGCCTCATTCACATCCATTGCAAGAGCCTCACTGTGATCCAGATTAATGCCTTTTTTAAAGGAAAAGAGGGACAAGTGGAATCATTTTTTGAGGTCATCAACATCAAGCCACAAATACTGTCGACTGAGTTTACCTTGTGCTGAACCCAGAATATTCATTTAACATTCATCTTTTTAATAGATCAAGATTCACATAAAAACACGACATTTCGAGAATCAGGCAGTCATAACCGCTAATTATCACAAATGTAAGACATGATAGAAGAGGAGGAGACTGAGATAAGAAACAAATGAAAGAGCAAAGGCAGTGGAAAAACGAGATGAGAATGAACGCGAGTTTGTGAAGGATTAGAGACGGACAGACGCTTAAATACACAAATTTAAATTCTACACACTTTCTGTGGGAGCAGGAGACACATCCACTAAAACAAATTTAATAATAAGGGTGAAAATGATAACCTGTTTATCATTAATTGTGCATTTTCTGGGCCACTGAATTCTGAGTAGCAGTGATGAGGGACAGATTGTGAGGAGGTGAGGAACAATTATGAAAACCACCAGTTGCCTGCACTATAAAACCATTAGAAAGTACAGAGGAAAAACTGTCAGACTACATGAAAGATGTTCAGAGGTTTTCAAGCTCTGGCTGCACTGCACATTTGATAACTGAATGCAATATTGAAAATGGTATTTTTATTTCATTTGTAAGCAAATATTCTAATTATCTGCTTTATAAACCCATTTCACGTTCAGTATAGATTCATGATTGACTGATAATCTGGATAATTTTTCTACATCCGGAAAACAATAACAAGGTAAAACACAAAAACGCAGCTTTTCCTTTCAAACAACAACTTTTGGGTGGTTGCTAGGATGTTCTGGGCAGTTGCTAGGCAGTAAATGGGATGTTCTGGGTGTTTTAGGTGTTTGCTAGGTGCTTTTCTGGGTGGATGCTAGGAAGTAGAGACCTGTGCGGGACGGATTTTTCAGTCCCGCTCCCGCCCGCGACATTCATGTTTTGTCCCGTTCCCGCCCGCATAAAAGTAATCTATATAGATTTTTTTTCAGTACATCGAAGAAATTTACATAAAATGGTTCTGTAATATCTCCTAAGCTCCACAACATACCAGCATAAACGCTCCCGATAAAATATTTGTTATTTAGGCTAAGCATCAACATTCACATTCACAAACCACTGTTATTTTTAACAGAAAAGCAAGCATGTGCTGCTGCGTGCATGGTTTGGCAAGGCAGAATGCCAGCAGCGCGCTTCCTTTATTATCACTAAAAGCTGACATCTGAGTTAATCGCGATCTCATAAAGCTCTGTTATATCACATCAAATACAGTGGGTACGGAAAGTATTCAGACCCCCTTCGTTTTTCTGTCAATATGGGGTGCTGTGTGTACATTAATGAGGAAAAAAAATTAACTTAAATCATTTTAGCAAATGGCTGCAATATAACAAAGAGTGAAAAATTGAAGGGGGTCTGAATACTTTCCGTACCCACTGTATATGCACAATGAATCTTTCACAGTGTCTATACTTCGTGTGTTAAAATGAGAGGATTCGTGAGCACGCAATTTCAGCACTGTGGTGAGTAGATTCTAACTTAATCTCTGATTGGCCATTGCGTTCCAGAAATCAACAGCTGAGTCTGTGATTGGCTACATTGCGCAACCTTTTAAACACGTGTTATAAATAGAAACTATGCCTAGCTTGCGCATGTCAATCATTTTAATGTTAATATTAGTTGTTCTTTTTGCTTTTGTGCAACAGATAAATAACAATTTATATGTTTTAAACACTTTATGTTTAGATAATTTCTATTTTGCGGGAGTCCCGCGAATAATTTTATTCTCCCGCATCCCGCACACACACGAGTCTCTTCCCACCTGCACCCGCACTCACCCATCAAGAGTTGTCCCGCGCCGCACCCTGTTACTTTGGGTCCCACGGGTGCAGGTCTCTACTAGGAAGTTAAAGTAATAGTTCACCCAAAGATGAGAATTTGCTGTTAATTTACTCACCCTCATGCCATCCAAGATGTAGGTGACTTTCCTCCTCAGAAGAACAGTAAAGAGGATTTTTAACTGAAACCGTGGTCCTTGGCGATTCATAAAATGCAAGTCAGCAGCTGCATGATTTTTGAGAATAAAAAAAACATATCAAGGAACACAAAATTAATGCCTGTGGCTCCTGATAATAAATTGAGGTCTTATGAAGCGAAACGATCGGTCTGTGCAAGAAACTGAACATTATTTACAACGTGATTACCTGTTTATACACAGCCTCAGGCAAACGGGAGAAATTTGATTCTTTTCCACAAACTGGCTCTTTCGGACAGTTTGTTTCTGGTTCAAATAATTGATTCTCCAGTATGTTTTGTAATCACACAATGATGTAATGTACACCCAATTATATTATTAAAGCACCCAATAATGATGTGAAACGTGGATGGATGTAAAAACTTTCCTTTTGCCCATTCATTCAGCGGCTCATCGGTCTTCAGTCTGAGTCTGATCTGTTTCCTCAGTTTTAGTGACTGTTGGAGGAAATGGAGCGCTGAATGACTTCTTTCATCATTGGATCATATATGCCGGTGTTTTGGCTCATTTCAACTCAGAGTGACTGTCAGGCATCCGAAGTGAGTTTTGACTGAGTAACTTGTAGATCTGTGCCGCTTGAATTTCAAGTTTCCGTTCAGTCCGATTTGGTGAACTGGTTCAACTAGTTCACCAAAAAGAACCGGTTCAAAAGAATGATTCGTTCGTGAACCGGACATCACTCCGGACTGTTTGCCTGAGGCTCTGGATTACAGGTAATAATGTTGTAAATAATGTTCAGTTTCTTGCACAGACTGATCATTTCTCTTCATAAGACCTCAATATATTGTCAGGAGCCACGGGTGTTCAGTGTTCCTTGATTTGCTTTTTTATTCTCAAAGCTGTTGACTTGCATTTTATGAATCACCAAAGACCAGAGTTTCAGCTAAAAAACATCTTTACTGTTTGACTCAAGAAAAAAAGTCACCTACATTTTGGAAATCCTGAGGGTGAGTAAAAATGTGAGCAAATTTTCATTTTTGAGTGAGCTACTCCTTTAAGTACAGTGCACCGTTGTAACAAACACATGGTCTACAGAGAGGAACAGCTCATTTTACCTGCTTGGTTGCAGCGTCAGAGAGATTCCTCAGGGTCCACAGGCAGTTCTGTGTCAGACGCTGACTCGAACCTGTGAGATGTTGGCTGAGAGCCTGCATACCTCCTGCCAAATGGAGAGAAAAAGGCTTAGAGTCCATATTTATTGGACTTAGCCACAAAAAAAAGGAAGAAAGGACAAAATTATCCAGCTACACAACCTGCTCTAAAAAGAAGGCGGCTGTATTTCTCCATGGATTAGGCATTGTCTGCCAAGGAGAGAGAAATGTCTTTTGGAGTCTGTGAAGATAAACTAAAAGCCACATGGCTTAGGAAGATAAAAAGAGGGAAGGAGATTAGGAGACATCCTTGAAAACAGCTTCTCATCCAGTGTTGTAACTACACGATCCTCAGCGCTTTCTCAAGCGAGTGTCGAAACGTCATATGGGAAGAGGACATAGTCACGCCATAACTGTGAAGACTTTTATGAGATCAGCTCTGGCAGGCACGATAGAGTGAGATATTTGAGTCCCGCAACCTTTGTCGTTGTATTTCTAAGTATTAATTCGCTGAAAGGTCAGCGTTAATAAGGTAAAACCCATACAGTGACTGCCGTGAAACAAGTGCTGACAGGCGGGTTTGATAAAGGTGGGTTTTTACATAAACTGCATCTGTAATATTAGTTTTAATGGAAAATCTACTTGAGTTGAATTCAATGGCTAAACCCTGTATTGTTGGGACTCTAATATAGCGGGTTTAACACACATGCGGCTAGTATGTTGAGTCATAGTGCCAATGTGGATGATGCAGATTCAAGTTTGGCTTGTAACATGTCCCGATCCCATTTCCCTTCTCTCCTTAAAAAAAATGTGGCACTCTCCACTGTCTTTGATGGTCATAAAAACCAGTCATGGAACAGTAATAAAAAGAAAAATAATAGTGATTTTCTGGTGATTCCTGGTCATGCTGTGCAAAGGAGCTCAGAAAGCTGAATCATCCATTGATTTGCATTCAAATCTCAGGGGTTTTTTTCAAAACAGTTGGGTTAGTTGTATTTTTTGTTCAAAATAAATGCAGCCTTGGTGAGCATAAGGGCGTGTTCACACTTGGCGTCTTTTTTTAAGCTGCCAGCGTTTGTTTTACATTATAATCCTATGGAGTAAATCGTGTTTTCAAAAAAGTCCTGAGCACTTTTTTAAATGCCACCGCTGGCATCTTTTTCTGCAGCTCAGAGCGTCTTTTCAAGTTGAAAAAAGTTTAACTTTTCTGAAAAAAACGCCCTACGTCAAGCGCCTTTTTGACAGCTGACCAATGACAAGCGAGTAGCGAGACCTGTCGTTTCCATAACAACAAGAACAAGAAAAAATGGAGAAGGTGCCGGTAGATAAACTGATCGTACTAGTTTCGGAGCACAAGGAGTTATATGATATGAGCACTAAATATTTAGTATAATAATAATGTTTTAATGTTTAGTCTAAAATATGCCGCAAACCGTGCATCATCCAACCGGAGCTCCTGGACTAAATTGTTGTAAGCACCATACTGGTTCCTTCCCCGTATAATGTTGTGCACCCACAAACGTCATTGTAAACCGACATTCTCTTCCCTGTTAACTTCAAAAGCCAACGCAAGAGCCAATTTCCTTTTTCTCAACATTTTTGCACCACACAGCGCTAGATTACTGTTGCAGCTGTTGCTATAGCAACAAAAGACGCCCTCGGCTGCTATTTGTAACAGAAACGCTGCCAGCTTTTTTTTTTCACAAAAAAAAACGCCCATTGACAACCATGTCAACTTTTTCTTGTCCAAAAAGACGCCAAGTGTGAACATAGCCTAAGAGACATTAAAAACATTAAAAAATCTTACCAACCCCAAAGTTTTAAAGGGTAGAGTATAATTGTTCAAATATTTTTTTCTCTCTTTCTTTTTTAAATAGTAGAATTGTTACACAACAAACAAATGGAAATCATCCGCAGCAATCTCAGAAATACTTAATAATGTAATAATCACTAATGACTGTAAAAGTCAAGCAAATTCGTTCATCAAAAAGTGAGGAAAAATATGCAAAAAGCCCCCAACACCCTCAGACAAAAACCCAGACAAAATCTGAAGCAGAAAAAAAAGAGATGGAGATTGTGATATTACAGGGAAATTATACAATAATGCCCAAGAGAGCAGTCCTTGGGAATGAAAGAAAAGATATAAGAATATTCCTCTAGGGTCTGGGAATAAAAAAATACATAAAAGTGAAACAAAGGGGAAGAGTGTTAAAGGGGTCATATGATGCTGCTAAAAAGAACATTATTGACGTAGACATGTGGGGGCGTGTTAGAACGAGCCGTTTTAGGTAGGCGTGGTTAACTCTTAACTTTTATAAAGAATATCTCTTTGGATTTGAGACTTTAGTCTTTGCAACTTTACAGATCTTCTTTATGCACCAAGAGCTTGTAACACTCCAAAGAGAAAGGAAAAATTGAAATCGCATCATATGACCCCTTTAAATGAAGAACGTAACGCACACATTTACTCACCAGCGTCAACAATAGCCGGCTTGCTGCTTGGACAGACAGAAAGCACCTTCAGGACTCTGCTGGTGGTCCATAGGAGCTTCTCATAGTTGTAGTTTCTCATAATGAACACCAAACTTTCTGGCCCAGCATTTGCCAGGATGATCAACTGTAAAGAGAGAAAAACCACACAGATTAAGGCCAAAAATATACTTTAAGTGAAATCAGTCTCTAAGGCAATGCATTCTCAGTGATTATACGACACCTTGCTTTCCTGATTGCCGTAAGACAGCAGCTGCAGGCAGTCTGTGGTGATGGCCAGGAACTTGGGGTTGGTCTTTTTCAGAAGAGGGACCATCCTTTGCAGTCCATCGGCCAGACGCACTGCCATCTTGGCTCCCTCCTGGTGCAGTAACAGGTTGTGTAACGTGGTAATGGCGTAGAACAGCACTGACTCCATAGGGGAACTGAAGAAAGAATAAAATATTTATAACATTTTCAAATCATAATGCCCAGAAGAACCACTAAATAGGATGATCCCCTTGTGCTGCATATTTACATGTATACAGACATTCTTATATTGTGTAATAGTAAGCATGATATTAAAAAGTTACAAATGTAATTGTTTCCACAATTTAATGCTTTCATACTTTGTTGCACAACAACAAGTTATTCAAATATTATCTGAAAAATATTTACTGTCTATTAAATTAATTATGTATCTTTTTTCTAGTCAATACAAGAATAAAAAAGGTGAAACACAAAAACGGTTGGAAAATAAGATGAACATTATTAATAATACACAATACATGTATACTACCTATTGTTATTCATTTTTAATAAATAAGATTTCTTATTAAACTAAATGAAATATCAAACATATTATATTATAGTACATATAATAGAATAGAACAGAACAGAACAGAATAGTATAGAACAGAATAAAGATGAACATTATTATTATTACAATTCTGATTATTATTAATGATTGAATATTATATAAAATAAATCAAATACTATTCATTATTCAAATAAATAATAATAAACAAATATCTAAATTATATATTGTTATTATAGATATTAGAATATAATACATTTCAATAATTTATATAAAACTATTAACAATTATTGCTTTTGATTTACTGTCAAAATGCATTTGTTAATATTCTTTGCATAGAATATTCCTCTGAGCTCTAGTATCACGGACCTCAATTTGAAAATTTAATAGACAAGATGAAAAGTATTAAATTATTTACTTTTTACATTTACTATTACAGTTACAGCATAAATTAGACTTCTCGATTAGAGAAAAACAGATAGTCCTGCCACCGTTTATCAGTATAACAAACAACAAAGAACGAACAACGTTTGTTATCAGGATGCAACGTTTTCACAGAGCTACAGACAAACCAGTCTACAAATGGCTTACTTACAGTTGTCTGTGCATATTAAACTAGAACATAAAAGAGTGTTTTCACGAGATGGTCCTCACAGCAGAACACAAGATCCAGGGGGCGTGGCTGGATCCAGATCCAACTCCTCCCACCTTACATATACCTAAACCTACACGTCTCCACCCCCGGTTTCCTAAACCCACCCATCTCCACCCCTAAACCTACCAATCTCCCAAAGCTCCACCCCTAAACCTACCAATCTCCACCCCCTAGATGTTGATCCAACCACGCCCCCTGGATCTTGTGTTCTGCAGTGAGGGGCTACTGGTTTTCACACCAGAAAAATGACACACACCACCTTTAAAGATCTAGACTGCAATCAAGTGGTTGCATGCAGCACTCTTTAAGATATCATCCTTGAGCAAGACATTTAACTATAGACTGCAGCAAGCAGACTGTCCCTGTAACTTAATATGGTGATACCATGTCAAAGTTGCAGCGGCCCTGGTTGCACGGTCATAAAGATCCTGCTCTACTCTATTATCTCAACATCTGCCGCAAATTGGCTTTCTGACAGAGCAAATTTCCCATCAGAGTCCAAATATATCTCTAAAATACAGCTCTGCTATAGCCCTCATTGCAGTGTAGTGGACGCTTCCACATACAGAAAATGGACACACTCTCCTGCTTTAGCATTGCTTAGTCACAGCGTTCATCAAAATGCACCAGAGGTTAGGAGATAAAGTGAGCACAAATTAATGTGCACCACAATGAGAGAAGAGCACGATGCACGATGTGCAAAGAAAACGCCAGGCTGACCAGACCAGTAACGGAAGGATTATGGCTTCCCTGCTGACCATCATAAAACCAGCATGAATTTCCATGCCGGTCCAGGCTGGTTAGTGCTGGTTTGGTGATGATCTAGCACGGTCCGTCTAAGGGTTCTCTTAGGAACTGCAGCATCCATCAAATGTTTGCCACTGTTCAACCAAAACCATTTGTCTGTCCATGTACAGTCAAGGGACTAATTAAAACATGAAATCATTAGACCGGCAAGGCATCTGTCATTCATCATTTATCTAATATTACAGATACAGAAGTCAACACTGGATATCTGCATTTTCAGAGATGGCTGATATACTGTAGATAAAAATTTTATATTTATTTCTCTGCCATGGTTTTAATATTTAACATTTTACATAAAAATATCATTTGGACCAAGCAGTGATTTTTACAAAGTAGATATTTAATGCAAAAATCTAGTTAAAATAGTCAAAACAAGTTTTACAATTACTGTTTTCTTATAAGAATATTTAATCTTTTTTCGTTACATTTCTAATTTATTTCTATATTTTTTCTTTCATTTATTTATTTAAACATGTTTATTTTAATAAAAATAATTTAGGCACTCTAGACAGGAAGTAACACAAAAGTCCAAACACAAGACAGGAGACCATGGGCAAGATCATGACAGAGGCCCCCCTTAGGAGCGTATTCCAGACTCTCCAAAATAAACACACTTAAATCCAGGAGGGAGGTGGAGTGGAGGCGGAACAGGGGGAGGGATGGAGGGACAGGACGGGGTGGAGCAGAAGACCACGACAGCAGAGTAGACGGGATCGAAGACCCCCACGAAGGAGCGGATGACCAGGGTAGAGTCCAGACCGCAGCCATGATGGAGGCCCACGGTGGAGTTGATGGAGGGAGGAGCCATGGTGGAAGAAGGGCTGTGTCCACCAGGGACCCGACTGACGGTGGAAGAGGAGCCCAGGGCAGAGACGGAGAGCCGCAGAGCCAAGGCGACACTGAGGATCTGGAGGGCCATGACGGAGCTGACGGCTCAGGCGACAGAGGCGCAAGTGAGGATCCGGAAGACCACGGTGGAGCCGGAGTGACAAAGGACCAAGGTGGAGCTGAGGGGAGGGAGGAGTCCAACGGAGCCAGAGGGATGAAGGGACGAGGCATAGCCGGAGGAGTGTAGTCCCGAAGCGTAGGCAGGTGGACGACCGACCAAGGCGGAGCCGGAAGGACGAGGGAGCCTGGCGGAGCTGGTGGGCTGACGGGCCACGGTGGAGACGAGGGAGCCAGGAGCTAAGGTGGAGCCGATGGGTCGAAGGGCTGAAGTGGAGTCCAGGTCTTGGAGGCTGAAGGCGAAGACCGGGGATCCCCCAACCATGATGTAGCTGGAGACTGGAAGTCCCGCAGCGAATACACACAGCATACTTCCCACAGAGGAGGAGCTGAGGGACAGACAGGGAACAGCGGAGACAGAGCTGAGGGGCTAGCTGGCAGAGACAGAGGTGGAGGGAGTGGGAGGCTGGGTGGTTCCTTTTTAGAAAACAGTTTAGGGATAGGAAACACAGAGAGTTCGTGAACGGCCTCCTTGACTGTGACTGGACAGGCAGAACGTTTATTAACAGCCTCCTTGGCGATAACAGGACAGACAGAGAGTTCATAAATGGCCTCCTTGGCTGTGGCTGGGCAGGCAGAGAGTTCATAAACAGCCTCCTTGGCTATAACATAACACACAGAGAGTTCATAACTGGGCGCCGCCACCACCACGCAAGGAGCTGAAGCAAGCTCCGCCACCTCTGGAGGTTCTGCAGCATCAGCCACCACCTTTGGAGATCCTGGAGCGAGCAGCGCCGCCTCTGGAGGTTCTGCAGCCTCAACCACCACCTGGAGATCCTTCAGCGACTGCCATCGGCTCTGGAGTTTCGGCGGTAGTGTGTGCAGCCCAAACACACCATAAAGCCATCCCCCATATAGGAAGTGCTGTAGACATGGGGATTACTTCTGGGACAGAAGGGCTTGAGAGCGTTGGTTTAGTGGTAGCGTCCCTCTCAACCTCCCCTACTGCAAAGGGGGATTCACAAAACTGCAGGACAAATTCAATAAACTGTGCCAGGGTCCAGCTGGGGTCTTCTTCTGGTAAGTTTAGACTAATATTTGGATCAAAGCCACTCCATAAACAGTCTTTTACCATAGCCTCATCACCAGGCATAAGGTGGCTATACAAAAGGAACTCCTCCACATAGCATTCAATGGGTCGGACCATTGTGAAAAATGGTGCAGAGCACACTTACGGGGTCGCAAAACACTCCTGCTAGATCCATAATGTGGTCAGTTGTTCTGTAACGTTGTAGAGACGAGATGAGGCAAACAGAGGTGAGGATCTACGTGCAGGAGTTTAATAAAAATTCAGGAACCAACAAGTAATCCAACATATGTAAAACAAGGAACTCAGACAAGGGCAGGGAGCAACCATCACAGACATTCAACAACTGACAAAGACTAACTGAAACACTGGGCTATTTGCAAACAGGATAACAAAGTAACAAGGTAACAAGACACACCTGGGAAAGGAACCAAGACAACCAAAGAAACAATAGGACTACAAGTTGACTACAAATGGCACTCTAGACAGGAAGTAACACAAAAGTCCAAACACAAGACAGGGGACCACGGGCAAGATAATGACAATATAATTGCTTTAATATATTCGTTATATTAATTACATTTATTATATATTTAATATTGATTGATACAATCAATTATTATGTCATTACATTATCTATTATGCAGTCAATAAAACACAAAACACATTTGGTATTTGCTATTATATGTTTGTTAATTTTTTAAATTTTATTTTAAATTTAGTTTATTTTATTTTTTTATTTTATATATTATTATATAATATATTATTTTAGTTTATTTTAGTATTTTATGTTTGCTTGTTTTTTTTATGTCTATTTAGTTTTCATTCATTTTTATTTTAGTTTTAGGTTTTAGTACTTCAGATAAACTAAAATAAATATGCCCTAGCAATTAGCTGAAATAAAATAAGTTTAAGATTTTTATGTTATATTTCAGTTAATGTTTATTTTTTTTTAAGTAATGTTTTATTTTCGAGTTTTAGTTTTATTTAACGCTAATAACCATGACAGCTTTTGAGAGACATTCTGTTGTGTTACACCCACATGCCGATCAAGTGCACACATTACAGAAGTAAAAGGCTATGCACAAACTCCTCAGACACACACTGACCTGAGCATGCGCACTAGTGCAGGGATGCCGCCCGATTTGAAGATAGCTAGCAGGCCCTCGCGCTGGTGCGAGAGACTGTGCAGGACACTGGCAGCGCAGCGTGCCGTCTCCAGGTCTCCGGTGTTCTGCATGGCCCTCACCACAGCCGACACCATCTGAGGAGACTGCATGAGCACACAGCGAGACGCCTCCTTCCGAGTAAGCTGGTTCACAATCAGTGCTGCCTTATTCACCACCACCTGCAATGGTAAAAGAAAAAAAATTCAGACATCTTGCATGTCAAAAAAACTTTTATGTGCAGCAATTCTGGTATATAGCAGTATGATATGACATAACAGCAATATAGCATATCCTATCTGTCTAATCATATGCAGTTTATTTAATAGTTTACCTAAAATTTTTAATTTGCTGAAAATTTACTTACCTTCAGGCCACCCATTATGTAAATTAGTTTATTTCTTTATGGGAACAGATTTGGAGAAATTTTGCAATACATCACTTGCTCAGCAATGGATCCTCTGCAGTGAATGGGTGCCGTCACAATGAGAGTCAAGAAAGCAATATCATAATAGACGACAGAAGCAACCGTTTGAAGTTAAAAAATGTCATAATGATGGATTTGTTTCTTACATACATTCGCTTCACAAGATGTTAATTGATGGACTGGAGTGGTGTGGATTACTTGTGGATTATTGTGATGTTTTTATCAGCTGTTTGGACTCGCATTCTGACGGCACCCATTCACTGCAGAGGATCCACTTGAGAGCAAGTGATGGAATGCTAAATTTCTCCAAATCTGTTCTGATGAAGAAACAAACTCATTGACATCTTGGATGGCCTGAGGATATATTAGAGAAAATATTCAGTAAATTATCATTTTTGGACGAACTATTCCTTTAAGGAACCATATTTTACAATTGGTGACCCATCACAGAATTAAAATTGCTCAACGTATATATAATTGGAAAATGTGTTATCGAAATAAGAAACTGTAAAGTGTTAATATGCAGACAAAATTCAAAAATATGCAAAATTATTCACATGGCATGAATAGAAAAATTGAGAATTTTTCTATATGGTTTCTAATATCTAAATGTTTTTAGACTTTCAATGGTTGCATGCTCTCGGCAGCCAGTAATTGAACTTGGAAAATAGATCATATCCTAAAGTTGTTTTTCACATCACATCGCAGCACATTTCAGTCCTTTATTTCACTTTATTCCCCCTTTCTCCTTCCACATTTCTAGTTCGTCCTGTGAGATTATTTCCTATCTTGCAGAAGGAAAAGGGTAATGGAAAGATGCATCTCATATTATCACATGCACTGTCCGTCTTATTCTCAGAGAATGACAGCTACTAAGTCAAAACTTTTGTAATTTTACTACAGATCATTTAAGATATCAGCTGATGTGGGATACCAACAGAACAAAAGCTAAAGCTTTTTGCAAAACTGTGATGTTTTATCACTGCTCCTGTTCGGTTTATCCACAAATTGGTCTTTGTTTTTAATGAAAAAGGTTTACTGTGATAATTGTATGTATATTTTCATTTGTACGGATCTTCATTGTACCTGGTCCTCGTCGGCCAGCAGTTTGGTGAGCTCTGGTATGGCCCGTGTGGCCAGGTCAGCGTCATCCTGATAGTTGATGAGATGAACGATGGCTGTTTTGAGGAGCTGCGAGGGCTCGGCCAATCTCTGCACATTGGTGGGCTGGTCTGGATTGCTCTGCGCGGTGAGCACCGTCTCTCCCTCCACTATTGTCTCGGGGAACATGGCCACACGTACTCTCTGGGCTCGAGTTAGACTGTACTGAGCCTCCATATCTGAGTACAGATGAAGAAAGAATCATATTAAACCAACAAGCCACTCAAGGTGATGCATTACAATAATTTTAACACTTATTACTCAGTAATATCATTGATTTGACGGCACTGATACTATCAGATTAAAAAAACAAAACATTGCATCGAACTGAATGACACAACTGTCTTCGGTAGAGCTGCTTTATAGCTGAAGCAAACTGAAACTGTTTATCAAATTTGTCTCATATATGAAGTTTGCATCACTGATTCTTTTACTTCTCTATTTAATACTGTGAAGCTGCTTTGAAACAATTTCTACTGTATAAAGCACTATATAAATAATGGTGACATAACTTGACTGTTACAAGGTGTTTTTACTTTAAAAGAAATAAATAAATAAACCTGTAAGTAACTTACTGATTTTATTTTAAGGTAGCAGAAAACTGTAAACAGACAAAATGTTTAATAAATAATTAAATGTACAAATAAACATTAAAAATATTTGTAAAATATATTAAATGTGAAGTGTGCTATTTTTATGACAAAAAGTCCCAAAAAGTGTTATAATAATGTTATTATTATTATTATTATTATTAAAAATATTAAATTAATCGCTTCTTCCACTAATTATTATTATTATGAAAGTGATGTTTCCGAGCCAGTGTTACACTTGTTGGGACTTTCTTTATCACACTTCAGCTTCACATAATAATAATAATAATATTAATAATAATAATACTAATACTAATAATATTAAATGTTATTATTATTTATATTAAAAATATTACATTAATCGCTTCTTCCACTAATTATTATTATTATGAAAGTGATGTTTCCGAGCCAGTGTTACACTTTTTGGGACTTTCTGTATCACACTTCAGCTTCACGTAGTAGTAATAATAATAATAATAATAATAAATAATAAATAATAATAATAATAATAATAATAATAATAATAATAATAATAATAATAATAATAATAATAATAATAATAATAATAACACTTCAGCTTCACATAATAATAATAATAATAATAATAATAATAATAATAATAATAATAATAATGTTATTATTATTTTTATTAAAAATATTACATGAATCGCTTCTTCCTCCAATTATTATTATTATTATTATTATTATTATTATTATTATTATTATTATTGTTGTTGTTAAAGTGATGTTTCCAAGCCAGTGTTACACTTTTTGTGACTTTCTGTGTCACACTTCAGCTTCACATAATAATAATAATAATAATAATAATAATGGTGGTGATGAAGATGATGATTATTAATTTTATATTAATTGCTTCTTCCACCAATGAATATAATTCATTATCCTGAATGTACTTAACATTGTAGATATGTAGACTTGGTGAATTAATCGATGTGCAGTCACAGGTGTGCGCTTATAGGCTATTTTACCATCTATAGGAGCTCAAATGAGGCTCATCCAATCAGATTTCAGATGCCATCATTTTATAACCCACATTATATCACATCATATTTTGCAGAGTGATTCAGTACAGGTGTGTTCAGGTCTCATTTAATAACAGAATAGATTGACAACAGAGAACCAGAGGTGGGAATCATGGAAGCGCATCTGTGACTCTCCGACTAAAGTGCAATCCAGGCTGGAAGCATCGCGAGCTTCAGAAAGGGGTCTTCGGAGGTTCTGTTGTGATAGCAATAATGTTCAAACCATAAAAAGTGAACCTACTGAACTAAGTGTTTGGATGAGTTTCTAAATGTCACTGGCTCTGGGCGGACAATAAATTTGCAGCTTTCTTCCAAACTACACAAGCACATATGCTGCCATGGTGAGGAATCAATTTTAAAATCCCCAGATATTTACAAGTGACAACATGCACTATGACAACAAAGAATAATGAGAAAACCACAGGTACATTTAATATGCATCTTGAAGAGATAAAGCAATAAGATTCTCTGAGCCGTGGCGCAGGGATAGTTCACCCAAAAATGAAAATTTGCTGTTACTTTACTCACTTTCAGACCATCCAACATGTAGTAACATCCAACAATAAAGAAGATTTTTAGCTGTAACCGTGGTCCTTGGTGATTCATATAATGTAATTCAGCGGCTATTGGTTTTTGAGAATAAAAAAAAGCATTTCAAGGAACACAAAATGAATACCTGTGGCTCCTGACGATATATTGAGGTCTTATGAAGTGAAACGATCAGTCTGTGCAGGAAACTGAACATTTGCAACATTATAACCTGTAATCCAGAGCCTCAGGCAGTGGGGAAATCCGATTCCTTTCCGCAAACTGGTTCTTTCAGACAGTTTGTTTCGATGAACAGGTGCAATTCACTAGTTCGTTCACACAATCAAGCAATGATGTAATGTATAATTATATTATTAAAGCACCCAATAATGATGTGAAACGTGGATGTTTTACATGTATAACACAAAGAGAACAAACGGAACTGTTTCTTCAGTTCAGTGACTGTTGGAGGAACTTAAGCGCTGTTGAGTCGGCACAAACCAGCATCATAAGATCATATACTCCAGTATTTTGGCTCATTTCTAGTCGGTGTGACTGTCAGGCATCCACAAGTTTTGATCGAGTAACTTATAGATCTGCACTGCTTGATTACAGTAGGTGAACTGGTTAAACTAGTTCACCAAAAAGAACCGGTTCAAAAGAATGATTAGTTTGCAAACCTGACATCACTCCAGACTGTTTGCCTGAGGCTCTGGATTACAGGCAATCACTTTGAAAATAATGTTCAGTTTCTTGCACAGACCGATCGTTTCACTTCATAAGACCTCAATGTATCGTCAGGAGCCATGGGTATTAATTTTGTGTTCCTTGATTTGCTTTTTTATTCTTAAAAAACTGTAAATGCTGATTCACATTACATGAATCACCAAGGACCACGGTTTCAGTTAAAAATCTTCTTTATTGTTCAACTCACGAAAAAAAGTCACCACATATTGGATGGCCTGAATTTCTAAATGCTAAATTAACAGCAAATTAAAATTTTGGGGTGAACTATTCCTTTAAAGCAGTGGTCCCCAAACCGTCGATCGCTACTGTCCCAGTAGCTCCCGAAAATAACAGAAAAATAAGTACAAAAATGTAGTACAATGTTTCTGTTATTCTGGGGAGCTACTGGGACAGAAAGAAAGAAAAATACATCATGCCTGAGTCAGGACGTTAACAGAGGCCAGAGATGCTGAAGACGGGTGCAAATAGGAGAAAATCCTGTAGCAGGCAGAGCAAGCACACTGTTCACGATGCTCGAAATATAGGAAGAAAACACAAATATTGAATTGGCGGTGAGGGGTTATATGAATGTATCTCTGAAGGGAACTGACTGTTTCGATGACTGTTTTCTTCTCATCTTACCTCCGTATAAAGTAGTATTTATAAGCCAGCACTGCTTTGTTTACAGCGGTAACCAATGAAACGCTGTATCGCTGCTGTTCCATAAGCGCCACCTGCTGTCAGAGAGTGAATCTGCGTCTCATTCAGCCCGCCTGCTGTTTTTGTTTCATGCAGATGTTTTATGTAGCGTAATTCCAAAAAGATTAAATAGACCATTCTGTTTTTGCTTTAAATCTTGAAATTATACAATCCAATTCAAATCAAAAACAACTGCTCATGCAACATGTGTGTAACATCTTTGTTTGGATCGTGATTAAAATGCAGTGGTTGCCACTCATTTCAAATGGCTACAGGTATTTTTGTTTAAGCCCAGTTTGCATGTTATAGAGCAAATAAACAATAAATAAATTGTGCTTAAAAAAATAATAAATCGAAAATAAAAAATATCTGCAACCATCGGAATCGGTCAATTTGCTTGCATGATCAGTGCATCGCTAATTAAAACACTAAATAAAAGGCCTCATATTGAAAGTACAATCTGGGCTGTCTTTTTCTATCAATTCTTCAATAGGTAGATCTTGTTTTTCATAAAGCCTGAGGTCAGGGATATTGGGCTTGAAAAGGTTGGTGACCACAGCTTTAATGCATATCCTCACGTAGACGATGCACTTCTTATATCTAAGAAAGCAAATCCCAAAATAAACAAAAAAATGCTTTCCGAATGTTGCACAAGTCCAGTGAAACGACACAGGCCTAGCGGAAGGGTTCAATGCCACTGACTCTAATGTGAAATTTTGGAGGCCCTCGGGTCCTATAATTCATCAAAATGTTCCGAAGAGGTGAAGGGAGACCATTGGAGAGAACACATTACCTGTGGCGCTCTCGCCAGCGCTGGCACTGACGCTGTACTTCTTACTGAACTCAGATTCGTCCTCATCTCGAATGGTGGTGGCTCCTGACTGAA